CTCCTTTTTATTGTCAACATGAGGAAGAGTGCTTCTGAGAACTTTTGCAAATTCCCCAAACCTAAGGCAAGTTTCTCCGGAGTCCTTTTAAATCTCTGCTTCAAGATTTTCAAAAACAGTTGTTAATTATGTCTCGATCAACTCACACATGATTAGCTATTTATAAAGAAGCTTTCTTCAAATGTTTCATTTAAGATGAGCAAAGCTCACATTTATATACTGAACGGGGCTTTAGAAGCATACCAGGAACTACCTTTATTTTGATTTCAAGGAAACAGACACATGTGCGTCCCTGTTCTGCCCCACTGAGCTGCTTCATTTCTAGGGCAGGGTCTGAACTGGGTCAGTCCCGTGCTGATCAAACACTGCTGCCCAAGGGGACCTGGTGCCCACTTGTCAGCAACCCTGAGCAGGAGCTTCAGGGCAACTTCCACAGCACAAGTGAGAGCCTGGACACTCAACCACCATGGCCCAGAGGCAACAGAACAATCCTGGGGGCCAACCCCTTCAGCCCCTCAGATTCATGTTCATCGTTCATTGACCACCCAGGTAGCAGAGATACCACTCTCCTAAACACTTCCTTATGGGGCCCTAACACATACGGATCTACCCCTCACATGGCAAATGTAGAGGACTTGGAAAGTCCTCGACTCTTCAAACTCCAGTAATTCTGCCATAAGCGCACAGCACGCATTGTCCCCAAGTACGGTAAATTACCCATAAGAGAGAACAGATACCCCAGGAGGGTGTAAGGGGCCCCCTTCCTGGTTACTGCCAAAAGATAAGAACCACCACCTCCAAAAGACACCCACATATGCCTGAAACACCATCCCACCCCCAGTCACCAAGATGGCTTTGTCCACCCTCAAGACGATGGGGACAATCAGGGGCAAAGCCCAAACAGACGGTAAGAATGGCCTCCCCCCCAAGTCAGCGGTGCACAGGCAAACGCTCAGGAAAGCCACCTCTGTCCTACACTAAGCAGAGCTGTCCAGGGCCGGCCGTGTACAGCTCTGGAAGGGTCTTTTTGCTTCACAAATGCCACTGTTACCCAAGTATATCAAAAGGAAAACTCTAAGGCCTTTGGCCTAAGCCAGCCCTGCGCCCAGGCCCCCTCCCTCTGCAGGCAGCTGTGCCCGCTGCCCCCACAGCTGCGGGACATGTCCCCGGTGTCCACAACCCACCTGGGACAACCTCAGCAACTTTCCCACTCACACAACCAGAGTCAGCCACCACACCAGACTCCGCGGTGACTGACAACATGTCCAAGTTTGGTACAGTTCTGATGAGAGTAAAGTGTCTTTAGACTTCACTCCATCTACAGCAACGTGATGCTTGAAAACCAGAGAAAAACGTAATGTACCTGAGGTAGTGTCTGCATGATGGATGCGACGTGACAGCGGTGTGTCCCATTCATCCCTGTCAGTTCCACAGTGCTTCACGGAATGCCAGCCCTGCTTTCTAGCTCCGAGGAAAGGCCAGGGTGCCATCAAGTAACAAAATCTCAACTTCCAAGCACACCCCTCATGCCACAGCACTGGCTGCAAGCTGGCCGGTAACTTCAGTGCTGGGCTCTCCACCTGCCACCGTCCGGCTCGGGGTCAGCCCTCCTGGAACCCAACCTGGCCGCAACAGCATAGGAAGCCTCGCCAGGACTCAAATACCTGCACCCATCCTGGGTGGGAGCCAGTGCCCTAGCCGCCGGTCCCTACAAGCAGGGATAGTAACATCGAGATATTAACATCTGAGGTAAGGAGCAAGCCCACGTTCCCAGGCCAAGGCATCCACCGTGAGGAAACGCTGCTCCATCCCAGAATGAAATCCTTCACTCTGGCCAAACCTCAGAGTGACAGGAGAGCATTCTCTGCAAAAGCAGGACAAACTGATGTATGCTGAAGATGCTAATCCGGCAGGCCAAAAGATCACCTTCAGAAATGAGCATCTGTAACGCAGCATCTATCTGAAAAGATCTTTTAAAACCATTTACGCACATGCTAATTTTGGTGTCATATCACTTTTTTTCTTTGTTCAACTATAATCATAACCTTACTTCGATGTTATGACTTTGAAGCTATATGAAACTAGTGCTTTCCAGAGTTCTTGGGACAACTGCCTTTGCAGCAAAAATCTCTTCATGTTTGCCATTACCATAGTGGAAAAAATTTAAACTCTGCTACCTTCAAACGAGCAAATTAATTACAGTAACATAAAGGCTTCTTTACAAAACTGTCCTGACAAAGAATATCAAGATGGAATTTGCTAAAACCAAAGTTCACATGGGCTCCCAGTGAGCAGTGAGAATGGAGCGTGAAGGCCCAGGGCTGGCATCAGGCCCTGGTGAGACCTCCGTCCCTCGTCTCCCCACCTGGAGCTGCGACCTGCAGGAAGGGGAGGTGCGGAGGGGCAAGCCTCTTTCACACACACTCCCAACCTCCAGCAGTCCGTGAGCTCACCTGACACCCGTGTGCAGCCTGGAACGCCCCACCATGCCCACCCCGAACCCCTTCTCAAGTGTTTGCGGCTCTGAGTTGTAACGAGAATGAGCTATTAGCCAAGCAGTTATTTTTATAAGTCATTGCTACCTCCTCTTTATACATTTTTATGATGAAAGATTCCAACGAAGAGGAAACATCAAGGAGAGTTTAATACTTCCTGATTAATTCTTTAACTAGAATATTCATAACTTGTCATTTTGGTTTACAGAATTACACTATCTAAAAGAGAGAACTTTATCTCGGAGTAGTACTTTTTACTTTTTTTTGGCTTCTGCTGTTATAAAAATGAGGTGATGTAACTAATGAGTTCCCAATTAGTGGAGATCGGGGGGTGGGGAGCAATGAAGAGATGGATATAAATCTTTTCTGTTCTAGAGGACATCCGTCACCCAAATGTCAACATGGGCTGCTCTCTGCTCTTAAATACGGGAGATTTAACGCAAACACTCGTGGACAACTCTTGCAAAGAGTCGGCATGTTTACAGCTTTTTTTCAAGGAGTTGTCTGCTTGTCACACAAAGACACCTCTAATGGTGACATTAGAACAGAAGACGAAAGTGAGTCCAGGGTCACCCATGACAAAGATGGCAGATATGCCCCTTTCCAACCACGGCTTCCTCCCCCCAGCAGGAAGAAGGAGGGGGTTTCACCTGTACAAAGGCTCAGACCCAGGGGATCCAACCAACCCCAACCCGCCCCCTCTACAGGAACCGCTCCGGCCCTGCAAGCCAGGCCAGGCCAGGCCAAACGCCCGCCTCACCAACTACTGAGGAGCTCACACCAGTTTTGAATAACAAAAGTACAGCTGGGGAATGGTCTATGCTCTGAGTAAGGAAAGTGCTGAACTGTGCGGGACCACCCAAAAGACATTTTTGCAAATAAGTAAAGAATATTTTGACATTTTACATAATATACTACAATCCTGAATTCCCTTTTTCAAAGGTTACTACAGATCAGCCATATTCTCCACTGAACGATCAAAATACACATAAGGAGCAAAACAGAACCTTCAATAAAACACCACAACCTCAAAAAGAAACCAACCGCATCGTCAGGGGCATCTCAGCACCTCTCCGGCAACTTGTTTGATGTCACCCTCTCCCCTCAGAGCGCGGCAACCCCCACCAGCACCCCCAGAACGCGGGCTGGGGCTGTCAGCTCTCGCCGCCCCTGCCCAGATTAAACAACCCCCCACCCCTGCCCGGCAAGCATTCCCACCAGTCCGGGCCCTGGCATGCTCCAACAGGGAAACCCCCTCCTCCTTAAGATGCTGAAATTCCATCAAGGTGACCACCGGCTCTTTTCCGAGCGCACGCAGGGCCACGGGAGGTGCTGTTTCTACTACTCCTGCCCCCGCGGCGCCTGTTACTCCACAGCAAGGAAGGAGCTCTCCAGAGGCTCAGCACTAGCGGTCCATGCCCGAGAGATGGACAGGATGGAAGAGAGCACGGGGCACCGCAACTGTGGAAGTTTCTCTCTGCTTGGGAATCCCAAAACCAAGCAGCGTGACCTGGGATGCTGTGGGGGCCTTTCGCCGTCAGACCCGAGGAACCCTAACCAACCGCCAGGGTGACACTGGAGACGGAGAACCTGCACGGGCTGTGGAGCTCATGGCTCCACGTTACCAGGTGTCGCCTGTACCTCTGAGAGACCCACTGATTTCACTGGAGGGTACTGAGCAAAGCAGCTGGGCACCCTGTAACCAGAACGCTGTGCTGCAGGCCACAGTGGTCGCAGGAAGTGCATAGCACAGCGCTGAGGCAAGGACGTGGCCCAGGAAGGGTGTATGCCCAAGGATCCCTCCAGGGCTCACCTGGGATCTCTGCCATCCTGGTGTTAGCAGGGAAGCAGAAGCTTTCCATGCAGACTTGCCCAGCCACAAGGAAGGAGTGTCACTACTCTGCCTGACCTCACCAGTGGGGGGGGCGGGGGGGGGGGGGGGGTGGTAACTAGCCCTCCATCACAGCCCGGGATAGGAGAAGAGCAGCAAAGTTCAGTGAGGACACAGGCCATAACACAACTGGTCCCAAAAAACCAGGAGGCGGAGCACCAAGTGTAGAAAAGCATGGACCCAGGCTATACAACCTACCAAGCTGTTCCCCTGGAGGCCTGCTGCCAAGGCTCTCCACCGAGGGGAGGGGGGCGGGGGAGGGGAGGGGAGGGGAGGAGCGGGCAGGGGCACACACCGCCAGGAAAGGAGCTGCTCCACTGTGGGAGCCCAGAAACTTTGCAATGCAAAGAGCGAGTTGAAGCCAAGCGCTGCCCAAAGAAAGGGACCCCTGCAGCCACAGCACCCCCCGGCCGTGCGCGCGCGCACACGCACACACACTCCCGCACACACACACTCTCTCACACGGAGGGGAGCTTTCCCGCACCCGGCACGGGAGCGCCCCGGCTCCTTCGCTGCAGGCCCGCGCAAGACCCGTGACCTCAGCGCCCTGCCAGCCCCACAACTTCCTGGACTCCCGGCGGGGGCGGCCAGACCCGCCCGACGCGGCCACTCACCTGGGGGCAGCTGGAAGTTCTGGATGTTGGTCGGATTCTGAGGCGGCTGCGGCAGGCGGGGGGCGAGGACCGTGGGCGTCAGCGTGGCCCGGATCCCGCCGGTGGTGGCCGAGGGCGTCCTGGGCAGGCTCTGGGGCCCCGCGCTGGCCGAGCCCTTGGGCAGCCCGGTGGGGGTGCCAGGGGCCGGCGGCGGCGGCGGCAGTCCAGCGGCGGCGGCGGCGGGCAGCGCCCCTTGCATAGTTGGCCCGAGGATCATGCCGGCCCCCGCGCCGGCCGGGCAGCTGGCCGCCAGGGCCTGCGGCGGCGCGGGCGCCGGCTGCACCGCCGTCTTGGGCGAGTCG